CATCAATTAATGTTATAGCATAGTTTATATACAGAAATGTGTACGAATATATGTAAATATTGACTTTAATAAAGTTTACTAAGCAAGGTTAAGCTAGTTTAAAAAAAAAAAAAAAAAAAAAAAAAAAACTTTTAACTTGTTGTTTATAAATTGTTTCAGCTATTAATATTTATTGTAATTACCTTTTTAAAATAAGTAACTATTAAAATAATTTTAAAATAAAATCTTAATAATTTTCATAAAGAAATACCAGATACAATCCTAATATTCATTGGATTGATATAAAAAATTGCTTTATATAGAAAACAATACTGTAACAAGTTATAATATCAAACATTTTTTTAAATCAATTCATGTCTTTACTTTATTTAATTTATATATTATATACTATCTACTATATTTTTGTCTCTTAAATCTATAATAAAATATATAAAATAATTTCATTTTCCATATTTGTGTAATGTCTCGTTCTAAATTAAATAACTTACTCACCACTTCTTTTATACTGTGATACATTTGGTAATGTTTAGGCTTAAAAATAATACAACGGAAATATCACTACAGTTATAGTAAGTGCAAATCAAGATGGCCGAAGTATTGAAATTTTAATTTTTAGTTATAACCAATTCTTACGCAAATCTAATATTCATGTGAAAATTATCAAACGTTGAATAATCTTCGATTCTCTCAATCTTAGATGGATCGCAATTAGATTCGAAATATTCTTGAAGATATTTAGTAGTTGTGGAGAACATTGGACGTGATCTGCAAAATCTTGTGTGATTACTTCAATTTCGTTCTGGGAAAACTCTGTGCAACCGTGGAGACTCTCTAGGGTCAAATCGAAAATTCCCCAGTAACCTAACCTATTATATAGCAAACAGATTTTATGAATAAGTAATTTCATATTAAAATTAAAATAGCAAAGCTCATGTTATAATTCGATGCGTTTTAGTAATCTTATTTTGATAACTCGTGAATTTCGCGGAGATGCTTTTCCAAAAGTCTTCTTGATTCGAAGCCTATTAAATATTATTAAATCGACAAGCTGAAAATTAATTATTATAATCTTACAAAAAACTTACATCAATTTTCTTTTTTGAATCTTTTAAAGCAGGTAATGTCACTTCCTTTCCCAAACCAGATTCATCAATGGATTCAATTATATCTTCCTCATCTGACTCATCGAATAAGAAACACGATTTTTCCATTGTTTTCTTTGATAGTTCATCCGTATTGTCTGTTCTCTTTTTCTGCTCACGTAAAACTTTTTGTTGTTATTTTTATTTTGATGCTAACATCTGTGGAATCGTCGTAGGCTTTTTTGTTCGTTAGCAAGTTTGATTTTTGATTGCAAGCTATACGCGTAAGTTTTCAATTTATATCGTACCTATTTATATTAAAAACCACTAACCTTGCTAATATTTTTATCCTTTCTTTCTTTTATTATTGCTATATATGTCACCTCAATTGCTTTTATCTTATCTTGGCTTTCAGTTTCCTAATTCATAATTTTATAAGTATTCTACAAGCAAATTAAAGTAAATAGATTTTGATACTTACATAGTTTCCGCGAGATTTTTCGCATACGAACGAACTTTAGGAGGAGCCGATCTGATTTTATTTCTAATACATAGACTCGTAAAATTGTTCTACGCATGTGGGTCGCTCAGTGTTCTCACATATCCAACTAATGTAACCTGTACTGTACTAAAGTACGAATGAACCTTTGAATTCTCTGTACTAATATCAACACAATACGACCAGATTTCAATAGACATACTTTCTATGGTTTTACTAGTTCAGAGGTAGAGAACGCGAACAAAAATACGCGCGCATGTGATCACGTGATAGACGGACGAAGATCGACCAAATCCAATCGCCTCTTTCGCCTACAATACAAGAAGAAAGAGTGTTAGTGACGACACGAACGATAGCTAAATAGTGCAAAGTGAACCTACTTAGCTGCTGTGTGACGTGCCGCGACCAGACCTGTGTGCAAGCGACTGACTCGCCGATTCTCACCGTTACACTATGTCTAAATGTAATTAAAAAAAAAAAGATTATACAACACGTAATAAAAATAAAAATATTGAAATCGTACTATCCCTCTGTACATGCCGCTATGCGATCCTGCAAATATGAGCACGCAGATTCTTAATGTTTACAATCTAACACGTGTATTGCTGATATAGCGAAATCACTCGGGGCTTTGCTAAGGAATATAAAATTTCTTTGAACATGAGGAGTGAAATATTGTAAAATGATAATTATAACGCAGAGACTCACATTATATGGTCAGGATCCGTATACTCTCACTTCATTTATGCCAACTCCCTAAAATTAAACGTTGGAAAATAAAATTTTTCTTGGCAACAACTAGTAAGTTGAATAGGCACAAACGGAGTCACCGCCAAAGTAAACGCCGTGAAGCTCTTTGGAGGATGGTAAACTCAGTTTGCTCACCGCCCAAGTGGTCGTCATGAACATATTGACCTTTTCATCAAAATAAAAAGCAAGATTTAGTTTCTTGCTTTTCATTCAATGACAAGCAAGATCACCGCCATAGTGGCCGTCGCGATATAGCTTGAGCAAATTTCACTTCCCAAAGTCTCGCCGCCCTAGTGGCCGTCACGAAATACTTTGTCATTTTCCACCTCAGACACCTGCCGCCCTAGTGGCCGTCACAAAGTAGTCTGTCAATTTACGGTGTAACCGTTAATTTGTGGACGTTGGAAATTTTTTCACGGCAACAACTAATAAGTTGAATAGGCACAAACGGAGTCACCGCCAAAGTAAACGCCGTGAAGCTCTTTGGAGGATGGTAAACTCAGTTT